TTTGGTTTCTTCCTAAAGACAGGGTTTTATACTTTTTCCACCTTGTTTCTATTTCTTATCCTCATATATCTACACTTGGTCTGAGCCAAAAGGCTGAGAATCGATGTCTCATATATATAGCAGTAAAATAACAAAACCAAACCTTTCGTCAGGTTTCCTTGGCCTTGACTGTTGGTGCAAATTCAGAGAGATAAACATGACTCCCTTGAGAGGAATGTGTCTGCCCATAAGGGATGTCTTAGACATGGAGGAAATGATCAGAATAAGTGAAATTGTAGGTAAATCGGAAAACATAAGAATTCATAAAGCCGTTGACGTTAGAATTTAAGAAACTTTTAGGAATCATGTTAGGCTTTTATTTTATAGATGAAGAAGCTTCAACTTAGGAAAAAACCAAAGATTCACATCCTAGAACAAGTGAAGGCAAGAATGGAGCCTGGAAAGGAGGCGTTTTGACTTCCAGCTCAGTTGTCATGCTCAGTGCTGCCCCTTCTTTTGAGTAAGCTCCCTTCCCACCCACACTCCAGGCACATCCATCATACTCCACAGCAGTTATCCCAGTAGTTAACATTATTTCAATTCTTTTTAACCAGAATGCTATGATTATGTTTTTGTGGATCGATTGACTTGTTATTCAATCCGTACAGTTTGGTGTGTGTTATTTTTCTTTCAAACTTGTAAAGCCGACAAGAGCACATTTTTCTTAGCTAAAATCCCTGCATTCACTCTTTCACTCTCCCAGGGCTTTTTATTTCTTTTTGTTTGTTTCCCTTGATTTTGAGCATCTTACAAGTCAATTTCATCAACTCTGTCTTACTCTGGGGAGTCATTTCTTTGTTAAAAACATGTTTATTGTGTCTCTCTTGTCAACCAAAAGCTAATAAAGATAATATGGTGCAGAATATCCCTCAAGACTGCAGGCCTCTGATACGTTTTTCTCTTTCCAGCAGCACTTCCAGGATTTTCAGCGTATGCCAAGCTTTACTACTTCAACTGACTTAATTGATTAGACCCAGAAACGTCAAAGCTAAAACAAAGAGCCAGAGTTCCAAATGGGTCCAAATTTAGCTGTATGTCCCCTCACCCCTACAAAAACATACCATGCGTATCCCCAAGGCAAGGGAAAAGAAGAAAAAGACAAGGAAGCCCATAACATTTTAGGAGGATTTTCCTCCTGCCCTTGGGCCTAGGAGATCTCAGTCTGCCATTGGTCATCCTGGGACTGGCCCCGCCAATGGATGTGAGCAGAAAGCAGCCCTTCAAGGGAGGAGCGTGCAAGTTTAGGAAGGTTTCAGAGCCTGTTCTTCCATCCTGCCCCTACGAGGATGGGAGGATGGTGTTAGACTCTTTTAGAAAACCTTTGGAAGAGTAAATCTCTGGAATGTTAGTTTCTCTTAGATTTCTACCAGCCTAGCAGGAGTCAGCCTTACTTGACCTTTTCCTCAAGTAAAGGCTATTTGGAGGTATGGACTTCAACCCTTTCACAGAGAAAAGCAAAGCAAAAGGCACAGGGCCGGCGTTCCCACTTTTTGAGCTGAATTTACAAAGAGATCTGTGATTCTGTAGCTTAAAACTTTCATATTTCTGACAGGATAATAGCAAAAGGCATCTTATGATTTTCAGTAACAGAGATAATTCTATTGGGATTTAAATGCTGAGGGGGTGGACTAAAGTGTGGAAACCAGTTAAGCCCAAATAGGTCATTTTAAGCAGGAAAGGCCTGGTACACATAGACAAGGTCAGATAATTAAGTCTGAGAACTCATCCTAGAAAAAGTGGTGCATAACTCATTGCTGAAGGCCCCTACGGTCACTTATTTCAAAGGCTGCGGTGAGCTATGATGACATCACTGACTCTAGGCAAGGCAACAGAACAAGACCTTGTCTCAAAAAAATAAAATCTCCATGCCTCAAAATGAAGCCTTGAGTCTGTTTCCCAGAGAAATAATCCTGGTTCTCTTTAGAATTTCACACAGCTGTAATTATTGTTGTTCGTAGAGATCATTCCAGAAACATGCAACTCAGGGCTCATATAGAGCTCTTTGGGGAGAAGGCATGGAGCCAAACTGGTGACTGCTTGCCACGGCCAGGGGCCATGGTCTCATCAGAAACATTCACCTGTTACACATATCTAGTGTGAGATCAGCTGGTCTGTCTTCAGCATCACCATCACCAAGATGTGTGCCTAGCTGTATGTCCATAGTGAATTTTAAACTAAGATCCATAGGGCTGAAAGGGAGACTGCTCATCTAAGTTTACATATTGAACAGAATTCATTTAAACACTCACTTGGGAGTTGTGGTAAGAATGAAAAAATTGAGATTGGCAATTTGGGGGAATAAGATACCAATGGGGATGTTTCTGCACAGAGCTTTGTGACATCCTTAAGGGGAAAGCAGGGTGCTTTAAGTCACATTGCTTTTTAGAATGTGAATGCCTGCAGCCTTAAATAGCTTATTAAAAGGAGACCATACTTTTTTTCTTTGCTTAACAAAAATGGTTGTAAACTTTTCTGGATGAATGTATGCGTACCCTCCATGTCCTATATGACATTTCTATTGTGATTAATTTTAAGATGAAGAATGAGTGAAAGTAACTGCAGGACATAGCCACGTTGTTACACAATCTTATGATTCATTAAAGTCACCCACTGAGGCTAAGCCATTGGGATGGTAACAGCTGCACATTGCTAGTGAATTGCATGGGACCCAGCTTTGCCCTGTAGGCACCCGTGTTTGTCAAGAATCAGGCAAGAAGAAAAAAGCCCAGATTGGAGCTTTTATTGTTGCATTATTTGACAAAATTTTTAGAGGGGAGCGTGTACTGTGGAGACCAAGCATTTTTCATGCTGGGACTCACCAGGGTATCTGTTCCTTCTGCTCCCATCTCCTCTACCATTTGAGTTTAAGCAGAGGTAGAGATTTGATGCTGTAGGGCAGGTGTCCTCAAACTACGGCCCGCAGGCCACATGCGCCCACCGAGGACATTTATCCGGCCCACCGGGGGTTTTTGCCGCCACTGCCTATCCTGCTTAGCAGCCGACTTGTCCCAGGGCCCACAGTCCGGCCCTCCAATGGTCTGAGGGACAGTGAACTGGCCCCTGTTTAAAAAGTTCGAGGACCCTTGCTGTAGAGTAACTATTATTTAGAGAAAAAAATTTTGTTTTTTTGGAAACCATATGTTGAATACAGATAATCTTGGAGGAAAAACACTGATATCATGGTAATTATTCAAACATAAATATGCAAATTGGCAGGGTACATGTCTGTTTTGTTTGACCCACAAGAGCACTTTCTTCCATTTTGAGATACAATTCACATATAGTATTGTACACAGATCTATACAGCTTGATCAGCTTTTACATTTGTACCTATTTAGATGTGTGTAGCCCGTGTAATCATCACCCAGATTAAGATATGGAAGTTTCCGGTGTCCCTCAACCCTCCTCCTGGTCATTCCTCCCGCAGAGACAACCACTCTCTGAGCTTTGTCACCACAGATGTGTAATGGCATCATTACAGTACATAGTTCACTCAAAAATCATAATTTCCTCAACAGTAACATTCTGGGGCCAGACGTTGGCTCTCGCCTGGGTTTTCTGTGTTCAGAGTTCAGATGTTCTCTCTCCTCTTCCCTGGTCTAAATTCCTGATATGTTGTTTTTCTTACCAAGCTTTCCACTGAGAGGGATATCCATTTGGTGCACTGATGGTATTTCTCCAAGTCAATTTTTAGAGACATCCTTTTACTTTGAGGCAGCATCTCAACAGTAATCAGAGGTGCCACTGACTGTCATGGCAAAGCCTGTGAATTCAGATGCAGTTTCAGAAATTAACGTGACTGCCATCCTGCCAGCAAGTGCTCTCACTCCCTGTTCCAATTAAGCCAAGCAGGAGCACCAGTGCTAGCTGCCTAATGATGAAAAGGTTCTCAGCCTATAACCCAACTAAGCCTAATTTATAATGAATAGCACAATGCATTAGTCATTGCTATTTATACAGGGCCACTTTCCGTTCAAATGAAACTAAAACTAAGTGCATTCATTGTACTCTTAATAATTTTTATTAAAAAAAAATGCTTTCAATACTGATTCCAAGGCATCGGTTCAAAATGATGTCTTTCAATTGTCAGTTCTTTCCCAGGGAAAACCTTACAAAATTAAGGACCCACTATGGCTCCCTATAGGTGTAAGCCTAAATCTCACTCATATTCTCACTGCCACTGTGCTGTGCATATGGCTTGTACTCACCTAATGTTTCTGGAGTTGAATGTATATATACCCAAAAGATAGACATTGAAAGAGATATTTGTACACCCATGCTCATAGCTGCAGCATTTGTGATAGCCAGAAGGTGGAAGCAACCCATGTGTCTATCAATGGATGAATAGCTACAAAAAATGTGGTATATACTTCTTATTGAGCCTTATAAAGGAGGAAAATTGTGGCACATGCTACAACATGGGTGAACCTTAAGGACATCAAGTAGCCAGTCACAAAAGGACAGAAACACTGTCTGAGTCTATTTACATGAAGTCCCTAAAGTAATCAGTTCATAGAGCTGGAAAGCAGAATGGTAGATACCAGGGCTAGATGGAATGGGGAGTTATTGTTCAATGGGTACATAGTTTCAGTTTTGTAAGATAAAAAGTTTCTAAAGATGGATGGTGGTGATGGTAGCGCAACAGTGTGAACTCAGTGCCCCTGAACTGTACACCTAAAAATAGTTAAGATGGTAATTTTGTGTTATATGTATTTTGCTACAATTTTTTAAAAGGTGATTAGGGGCAAGTATACTATTTGAGCTAGAAGCACCACGAAAGTCATGCTCCTGGGGCGTTATTCCGGGGCTGACTTCTCAGTACCTGCGAGGCTTTCAGACCACACTTCCAAAGGGAGCAGTTAAGACCCATCGTTGACCTTGTGCTTCTGGGCAGTAACTAGAGTTCCTTTGAAAGTAAAATGAAATGCTTTGTTCAATAATTACTTTCTTCTTTTCCTTAGGGTGTTAAATACCACGTTATTTGAAAGCTGGGAGATCATTGGACCTTTCCCTTCCTGGTGGGTTTTTAACCTGCTGCTGATGCTAGTACAAGGGATGAACTGCTTCTGGTCTTACTTGATCATAAAAATAGCCTGCAAAGCTGTTTCAAGAGGCAAGGTAAGCGGCAACTCGCTTTTTTTAAGGTGTCTCAGAAAAAAAAAAAAAAATTAGGGGGAGGGTTTCTGTAGATCAGCTATTTGTCAATACCAGTTTTGATGAAATCTGAAATATTTTTTCAAAATTGAGCAAACCCACTCAGAAACACAAACCCAATTTTCGTGCTTGTCTCTTAAGCATCGCTGCGCTGCTGCTGCCCCACGATCGGCATTTGTAATTTCAGACTGAATGATGATGTGTAACTCCTTGCGTTCTTTCTTCCCCTCTGTCCCCCTTGTTCCTTCTCTGATTATACAGAAAAGAAATTTAATGAGAAGAGGTGCTTGGTGCAATGTACCTGTTTAAACCAACCTTTCTCTCCAATGAAAGAATAAATCCATTTATGACTTCTCCAGCGAAATTTAGTTTATATCTTTTTGGTTAAAAACAGACCCATAAGCTGATTCCCATAAAGCTTCCTGAGCCTCAGCACCTCAGTGTAGAGCAGTGACTTTTCCAGATCGTTCTCTGTGACATTTTCTCATTTATTCTCTTCCTTCTGCCACCCCGGAAGGCTGGGAAGTGGAACCCCTTACATGTAAGTTTCTCACGCTTGCTGTCCCTGTCCTGGGTGCCGCCTGCCTGTTGGAGGGGCACACAGATGCTTCTGTTGCTGTGTGTATTGTTCTGTCTGAGCTATTGATTGACACTGACTAGGGTTCGTGTGAGGTGTCATTTCCATTAGCTGCAAGGGGTACTAGGAGCGGCTGTGTTAGCGCCCTTTTGTGTAAGCTTGTATTCTGCTAAATTTTGCATGACCTAACAGAGAAGAGGCATTTCTTTGATTGGTGTTTAACTTGTTGGCTACAAGACAGAAATAGACCAAAGTGAAGTAGGAGAAATAGAACTAGCGGGGGACCTGGGAGAGGGTCAGCCCAGCGCAGAACGGAGGCCTGGGCCTCAGCTGTTTGCCTGATCTGCCTGGGGCCACAGGGAAGTCTTGACCACTTCATCTTCATCAAGGTCAGCAGAACCGGCCTCTTCCACAGCAGAGCTCAGGCCATCTCGTCTTGATCTACAAAGCTGATTCTCGGTGTCAGCTCCAATATAAATTCTACATGTTTTGATCAGTTCACTGATTAGAAGATAAAGTTCATTTTTCTCTATGACCTCTCACTCTGTAAAATGAACATATATTTTCTATTAAAGTTTTTTCCTGTCTTCATTTGGCTACAAATTAAATCAGCATGCACAATGCCATCAGTATAAACTAAAGATACAAGGACAGCGTCACCTTCCTTATGTTCTTAGCGCACGGCTGTGTCTATCGGACATGCAGTCTTCTCTTCAACTCATTCCTTCTTTATGAAGAGATAATCATTAATTTCACTACAGATCTCAGGCTTCAGGATATCTAAACTGCTCTCCCCCACTTGGGACAATAAGGTTCCTCATAGCAATGGGTTTCTTCCTGCAGGTTATTTAGATATAGTCTGAATTCCTTTCTTTGACGGTAACATGAGGGTAGATTTTGCCAAGTGCAATGTAAAATAATCTTACTAAGCATGCACGTGTAAACTAATTACTCTCTGAAACTGGGGTTTCCTAGGAGCAGCTTCGTTGGTGACTAACGGACTTAGAAACACAGTGGAGCTTCACTGTAACACTGCCTTTTTGACCCATGATTTTTAAGTTAAAGTTTTTTGCCATCTAGTCATTTTGGTGTCTCAGTATTGAAATGTTTTTGGAGATGATCTATGTGGGCTCAGTCTCATGTCATGGGGCATTGGAGGGAGGTTCATTTTTTACGATATTTGTTCCCCTACTACTTGAAATGGAGTGATAATTCTCAGCTTTTACTTTCTCCCATCCCCGTCCCCACCCACCCAAGAGAGGTGGCCCCTGCTCCCACAGTGACATTGGCTTCTCATGTCCAGGTGGGGTTCAGGATTCTCAAGTCAAAGTGTGGTGGTGGCATACAGATTGGGGAAATTTCCATAAAGCCAGGTCCCCTTTGCTACCCGCTTAAAAAGCAAATAATGCTCTTATGAATCCCAAGACCTGCTGGGCAAAAAATGTGCTCACCACAATTTAGACTTATAGAGTAGGAAGTGTTTATTTTAAAAGCAATAGCAGATTTTCCTAATTATCCTAAAAATTACTTTCTTGCTAGACGGTAGGATTTTTTTTTTCATTCTTTATGGTAATGTGTGGATTTATATCCGGGTTCCTGCTTTGCCATCCTCATTACTTGATTAAATTGGATGGAGTAGAAACTTGGGAGCGATGAGAGTCAAGTCCTGATCACCCAGTCAGTGGATTTTTCTCAGAAAATATTTCTAGCTAGACCTCACCTTGCAAGGTCTTAAAATGCCTCCTGCTGCCGTTGGTATATGTGACATATAAAACAAGATCCCTAACTAATTTTAGCAGACATAAAAGAAAAACAAATTAAGTCATAACACAATGCATTACAGAGCCAAACAGGAAGGATTTCGTTAGTGTTCTGAGCTGGTGGAAGTGTCCGTTAGTGTGGTGACAGCTGATTCTAAGTGTTCTTGAGGAGGATGTGCCCACAGTGAGCACAGATTCGTTTGTACCAGATTCCTGTGCTACAGGATGTCACCTTCTGGGTCAGAATCAGATGCATGGTCTAGTACGTTCTCAGCATCTAAGGTACCATAGAGAGTTCTGGTCCAGTCCTCTGTGATGCCCAAACCCACCCACCCACATTCCTTCATAACTGACTGTCACCCAAACTGTACCCCTTCAGTGAGAGGAAGCTCACTACTCTGGCCAGATCTTGTGCTCTGTTTTTTCAGCACTTGGATCTGTTTCCCTTCATGTATGACTGCATGTGCTTCTGAGCGTGCTGTGCCTTGATGATTTCTGAGGAGCCAGTTACACTCACTTTCTTGTATTCCACAGGTGTCCAAGGATGACCGAAGTGATATTGAGTCCAGCTCAGATGAGGAGGACTCAGAGCCTCCAGGGAAGAACCCCCACACTGCGACAACCACCAATGGCACCAGTGGTACCAACGGTTATCTCCTGACTGGCCCCTGCTCTGTGGATGATTGATTCCCCCAAACGACAAGTCCCGAACAAAGTGAACTGTTTGTTCCTGGAAGTATTTAATAAATTGCCAATGCAGTTGCTTTCATAATATCTCAGCACCCGAAACAAAATCAAAGCATTTTGAATAGTGCACTGCCATGTGTCCTGTCTGTGAATGAAGAAGAATTACCATTCTATGTAGGCATGCTGTATGTAACTGACACAAGGGAACAGTATTTGCATTTGTACTGTCTTAGCATATTATTTATTTTTTGTATTTGTTTGTAAATCTATGGACAACAGAGAGTTTCCTCACTCCTTTTCCTCTCTGGGTTCGTGACAGTGAAGGAGATGCTTCATCTGCGTCTGGCCCTTTCTCTTGCTGTGGTCCCATGTGCCGTGCCTGAGCATCAGCTTAATTTGTCACTTAGTATAAGCAAAGCCCAGTGCAGAATTCTCGCACAGCTCTGAATAGGTTTGCTTTCTTTGTGTCCCTGTGCCCATTTTGAAATGGCCTGTGTAGTTCCAGCGACTGTTTAAAAAGGATGAGCTAGGTTTCTAATTGTCATTCTTCATGGTCAATTAGCAGTTCAAATTAAAGACGACGGTCATTGGAGGACTTTTAAAAAGTTGTTTTGTCTTAAGTTACTTTGGAATAGACTTCATTTCTTGTGCACACAGCCAAGTGAGTGCACTCTCACTTCTCAGGTAGTGTGATAGTGGGTTCTCAGTGAGTGTGATGGGAGGTAACCTTGCAGGTTACAGAGTTGTTTCTCTCTCTAATGATGAGGTCAGTGCACTGACTCTGAAGAAGGACGTTTGCTTAAGCTCATAGTAACAAAGAAATCACTTGTAGTACTGGGGATGTGTCCGGTGTTCTGGGAATAGCATAAATAGAGTAACTGATTTCAACCAGGTCTTGCCACTCCCCCTGTAATTAGCACAGTTTCCTGTCACGTGACTACAGAAAGAAGATGAGTGAGTATATTTGGGGATAAGAAAAAAGGAGTCTTCCAAGAGTTGGCAAAGATCACCTCCAGGGCAAAGCACTTTATTGCCACCAACTTTTAAGGAAAGCCCTATCTAGTGTTAGATCTTGTTTTTATTTTGCTACACAAAATAAAGCCGATGGGAGAACAACTGTTTTTCCTTTTGCTTTCCTCCTTAAACGTTACCCAAGATGAGTTTCTTACGAGGAGAAACAGTATCATTGCACTCCAAGGCTTCTTGGAAGACTTGCTTCATTTCCAGGAATGTGTTTTCACATGCAGCTATTTCCAGAAAAACAGAAATTCCATTGAGCAGTGATAACAACTGAAATTAGGACTATCACTGGCGTTTCCATAAAGAAAGGCTCTTGGATGGATGGCAGTGTTACTTAGGTACAGAAAACCATACGTAAGCCAAAGATTTTTATCTCTTCTAGCTTTCAGTAAGAGCAAATAAAAAGGGATTGCAGATACTTATTTCATAAATCAAAGAGACCACTATCGAAAACAAGAGTCCAAGACAAAAATGCAGTAATACAAATGTGAGAATCGGGGTACAGCGAAGACAACTGCCAAATACTAGAGATGGCCCATCCTGTCCGAGCCATTCACGTTCAGTCTGATTTTGTGAAAAAAAAGTAAAGCTTTGTGCCCACGATTTGCAAAACTGTGAGATAATAGTTAAAAGAATGCTCCCAACAAAACCTTCTCACTATACTATTATCTCCCTCCGCCCCACCTATTTATGAGATAGCATGTGTCTGGTTTGATCCTTAGTAATAATTGAAGAGTCTTGGAAATATGTCTACTTGTTTATTGAGAAAACAGTGCAACTAATTCGGCTTGTAGGGCCTTACTATTTTATTTCACAAAACAGGCATGTAATTTGTAGATGGCTAATTTTGTAAAATCAATCAGAAAATGCCAAAAAGACTTAGTCATCAGAACTTGTCTGGGGCAAGCTTTCAAGATAGACGAAAGCAGCCGGAGAACCAGAGTGCTCAAGTGACACTAGGGTAGAAGAAGAATTTCAAGAAGATCAACTTAAAGGTTTAGATAACTTGTATACAAGGAAGTAAATGGAGTCTGTTCTGAGCAAAGGCAGATCTAAATAATCTTTTGTTTTTCCCAGAAGTCACTCAGAAAGAGGACTGGGAACACTCAGAGCCTCTCTAACTGATAGCATTTACTTAACACCGCCCTCTACATATCTACAGATTTTTATTTCATTTTACATTTTAGGACAAAGGTTTTTTGTTATTCAAAATTGGGTTTGTAGGCCTTTCATAGTTTAGGATAATCAGTTTCTGCCTCCAGCTTTTCTGTGATGGGCTGATAGGCCTGAGAGAGAAAAACATACATCACCGCACCTTCCCAAGTGCCAGGCCGTAGTTTTGGAAGTGTATTTTGTAAATCCATCTATAGATTAGAGGGAGTGTTGTTTCTCATTAATTAACTTAGCCTGTGTTCACGTCTCCTCCCACCTCATCACAGTCAAACCTTCACAGGATACAGAAGGCTATGTAGAAAGGACTCTAGAAACAATAATATTTTATTCTCCAATGTCATAGCATTTTCTAGATCGCTTAGTAAGGGAAAAAGTAGAAAATCAAGTAGAATTTGGCCTCAGGTCAATACATGATATAAAAATGTGTGATCTATGTATATGAATGTGTCTCTAAAAATATGAGAAAGCGAAAACATCACTGACTCATCTTTATCCATATTCTTTTCATAAAAACCATCCACCACGTACAGTAGAAACTCCCCTCCTCCTTCATCAACCCTATTTGTGTCCCCACACAGCTGAGAGTGGTAGAATCTTTTCAGCCTCCTAAGCTAAATACGGCATAGTGCAGGTCACAGAGCTTCTAGGGTCAGCATATAAGCCAAATACAGTTTACATTTCCAAGTTCAGTTCTATGGATATTGAGAGTAGGAGAACAACTATCAGTATTTTGGATTATTTAAGGGTATGTTGTAAAAATGAACATGATTGCCAGTTCACCCCAGGATTTTATTAACATCCTACCCCTGACAGTCTGCTATACAGATGATGTCCTTATGGAGATGAATAAAGCAGAAATGTAGGCAAAAAGCAAGCTGAAATCAAATCACCATTAGTCAAAATGGCAGGTGAACCACCAGATGTCCAATTCTGTTCCCAAACTTTCCATTCTGAGTATTTGGTAGAGTTTGAATTTGAGCAAACTGAATGCCTTCATCTTAGGCAGAAAAGATCTGACTCTTCCACCTATTCAAACCTCATTGTTATTTGGGCTTAGTAAAAAGTGATATTTCCTTTAAGCTCCCCTGAGTCTTTGCTGAAGCGCTTTCAGAGAAAGCTTAATGGACACCTGTGATTGTTCCCAATCTGTTCATGATTTTGCATTAATGATTTTTGTTTGCTTTCTTGGAAATGTTAATGCCAAAGTTGCCTGAATATTTGGATATTTTTCTTCATTTGAAATATAAAAAATATACAGAATAATTCCAAAGGTGTTTAAAGACTCAGTTTATCAGTCAGTATATATGGTGATGTCATTATATCCAGAGAGGCTTCAAGAAATCCTTTGAAAATAAAAGGTTGAATGTTTACATTTTATGTGATATTTACACTTGTAGGGTTTTAATTAGCTGACAGTTTTTAACTTGTCTTTGGCTGATTTCTGCTTTTTAGATAAATAGTAATAGCCCTGAAATGTTTCTAACATCAAAGTTAGATCACACTCAGCCTGACAGAGAATTGGTCACATGGCACTTTGTTTCTAAGTTATTTCTGTAGAGAAAGGGAAAATACTGTGAGCTCTAGTTACTACACTTGCTGTCCATGGAAGGAATAATCACAAACAGTTCCTGAAAATGCAGCAAAATATTTTTCAAATGGAGATATTGTTGTCCCCAGAATCAGTTTCGGTTTCTCGTGGTGAAATTAAATTGTGCTAGTCCCAGATTACCCTGTAGTAACTAGTACTGGTTCACCAGCCACATTTTACGTCTTCACAGTAACAGACCAGAAAAGGGCTCTTGGTTTGCCGTTGTGTGCACTGCCCCCTCTCCTACCCTAGGGGGCGCTCAGTGGCTACTGAGGAGGCCAGTCCACTCTGCTGTTGGAACTAAAAATTCGCAGAGATAGCGTAACTAATGCTTATTTTCGTGGAGAACATTGTATTAGAGAACCACAAAACATCCTAAGTATTGTTAATAAGATCTTCAGATCCACACCCATAGGAGAACCTTAGTTAAGTCTTTTCCAGGTATTTCCAACTTAAATTCAACCCACCACCTTTGAAAGGAAGGCTTTACCGAAGAGCCACATGCTGAGACCCCCATCAGGTCCAAGAAATAAGGAAGTCTCGGCAGCCAGAGAGCATATGGTGTCTCCACAAAACTAGACGTTCTCAAGTTGCCCAGGGAGGAATGGTAGGGGACCGTTAGCCTAAAGTTTGTCTTATCTCCTGTTCATTCACGTTCCTTTCCTCCTGGAACTCTTGATAAAAGGAAGCCAGGAAGTTATCATTTTTCTGCTGTCAATCTACCAATAACCTTTGAATCAGTGGTGTACCCACACTTCCTTCTCTGCCTGATTCCAATTTTCTGAAAAAGGCATTGCGCCCATGTGTGTGTGTTTTCCTCAGCACAGACCATGGATATTTGTCTTCCTATTTTGGTATTTATTGCATGGCCTAGAAACCCGGAAATAACAGCTGTTGGTACGGTTTCTATGTTCCATGAAAAATTGGATTTCATTGGGATAAGTCTTTCTTTTTTGTCTACAGTAATTTTTCTGTCATTATAAAATGGCCCTTTAAAAATTAGAGAATTGTCTTAAGATTTCTCTGTGTTACCCTGAAAAAAAAAAAAGTAATAATTAGGAATTTTTAATCATCAGCTGCAAAAAAGAAACTAGCTCTGTGATAGGAACAGTTACGTGAAGATCTGGAACTTTCACTTAGAGCTTCATTAATTTAACGGTGGGGGGAGCCCTCCAAGTTTGATTTCCCAAAGTTTCCTGACTGCACAGTTTTCATAGACTCTGTTTGCCCCCCTGGTCATTTACCTCCATAGCCATTTGTTGTCATGGGAGGGGGTGGTGGTTAGGTTTTGGATTTGATTTTTTTTTAACTTGCAGTGAGAAATAGGATAGGTGACAAAACCTGACTTGTTTTCTTAAGACATTTCTGTGCTTGGGCATCTCTGTCACAAATGGAATGATATACTGTTAGCCAGTTAGAATTATTTTATGTATTATTAATGTGTTTTGCTGATTTTTATATGGAAATATGATTACTCATTCTTGATCTCTGGAAGCAATCATGATTATGAGGATCGTTTTACTTTGGAAACACTTTCATAATAAAGATAAGTATTAAGAGTGCAGTGTACGTGCCTTTTACTGTAACTCCTGTTGGTAATAGGTCACACCTCCCCACATGAGGTTATTAAAGACTCACATTATCCCAGTGGTTAGTTCCTTATAAGTCTCCTCAAATCTCAATACATGTCTCACTATGATCACTGAGAAAGTAAGGTTATATTATCTTGTGATATACTATAGAGTAGTTATCACTTTGAAAATTAAGATGTAAAAACTTCGATGTTTAATATTAAGTAGCACTTTATTCTAG